AAGATTGTCGAACCCACAGAGACCAATGTCAACCTATCGTTATCTATTGTTGCGATGTAAAGCTAAGGCTAATGGTTTTCTACATTTGGGACGCGAGTAAGTAAATAAGTGCTGAATGAAAATTAAATTAAGATATTGCGAAATATCGATATATAATCCTATCAATCATCGGGGGTTCAGTAATTCGTGGGCGTTTATTTTAAAAGGTAAAATTATTATTCTGTAGAAAATACCCATTTAAAAGACCTTATCTCACACTCTCGTGTTATTGACTTAGACTATGCGGCTCTCGCTCTCTCATTTTGCATTTAAAAACACTTTTTCAAAATAGATAAATCCTAATTAACCTTAAAACGCTCTCGCTGTATTTAAGCCTAATGTTCTATTTCAGCTATCTGGTTAAGACCTTAAAATTTTGCTTTATTGATCTTAACCTTCGTTACTTTGTTACTCTCGTAACAAAAGTTATTAATTTATCAAAAGAAACAGAGACCAGAAGAATTGAATCCGTTAAATTTATGTTACAATTTACTTAACCCCCTCCGACCGATCGTATTTACATACTGATACTAAGAGGTTTAGCCAGACATGGCTTTTATGCTAATACTAAATCTAATCTTAGTGCTAAACTGAAAATAAAAGGGATGCATAAAAATATAACGGTAAAAATAAAAACAGATAAAAGGAACTTGACAATTTGAAGAACAGAACTTGGACTTGATTATGGAGGCCGACTTGCAGTTCAGTACAATATTACAACCTTTTGAATCAAATATAAAACTAAATGGAAAATGTTTATCAGTGTGAAAAACATTTGCCTTACAAAAATTCTCTAAAAAATGTAAAAGAAACTAAAAGCAGAATGCTGGAAAAATAAAATGAAAAACAGAAAAAATACTATGTGCCCCATTTTCCACAACTGCATCTGTCTTTTATAGCTGATAGTGGGCGACAGTTACACAATTTTGAAGCCTGAAATGAGGAGTGAAACAAGGAGAAAATGTAGCCAGGAGGTTGAGAAAAAGTAGGGAGGAAGTGGAGAAAATGTAGGGAGGAAGTGGCAGACGCCACTTCCCGTTCTTTTAGGAGTGGTAGTTGCCACTCTCCTACTTCCTAGGAGTGACACTCGCCACTCTGTTAGATGCCCAATTGTGCTTATTTGAGCTATCAAATATGGGCATCTTTCGCTCCTTTTTGTCTAATTTCGGTTCAAAACCGCCTTGCTTTTGTTGATATGCAATATGATGTGAAACACTCTTGATTCTTTTAATTTGTGTGTTATTGTGCAGTATTTAAGCATGAAAGAGTAGAATTTAAAGACACAAGAAAGATGACAAAGGAATCAAGAAAGAACAAGAGCAAAAGCATGTTCGCTAGGCGAACATCTGACGAGTGTTACAACGAGCTATTTGCTAGGCGAGCTCGTAGCGAGCTGCTAGCGAACATTCCCAGATTTGGGCAGAATCAAATTGGCATCATTCGCTGGCAGCGAGGAAGGTGGCGAAGAACTCACTAGGCGAGCACCTAGCGAGCAAGTAGCAAAGCATTCCAGAATCTTATCCTCAGTCCTCGCTAGCATGTTCATTAGGCGAGGCTGTAGCGAACGTTCGCTGTTAGCTCGCTAGGCGAACAAGGTCGCGAGCGTGACAGGACAACAACATTTTCTATAAGTAGCAATGTGTACTTTTTGAGACCATACCATATTTTTACTAGTTCTGCTCCAAAAGAGATTTTTATGTCCTAGAAACCCAATATCTCTCATTTCTTCATCTCTTAACATTATTCTACAAAAAGAAGGTGGATTCTCATCCAAGTTGGATTCTTCGACTCAGATGTTCATCAACCTTCTTCTAAAACTTCTTGTGCAAGCTACCATGAAAATGAGTAATTAAGTTCTTCATTTTGTCAAGGTTAGATGTAGGTGATCATTAAGCTTTGTATGTATATGGATGATCTTCATTTGTAAACTCTTTGATGATGAATATATGGTGAAAACCTTGCTTTATTTACAACTCTTTGTGTTGGTTTATGATTGAAAGATATTTTCCAACTCTTGACCTAGGTTTTCACCCATCTATTTTCTTAAGCTAGAAATAATTTTGAATGTGGTTGTTCATGAAAATGTTAAACCTAAATATTGTCATTTTGATAGATTGTGTGAGAAATCAACAATGGATCAAAATGGGAAAAATCACAATGTGAGTTAGAAATAATCACATTGGGAGGATGTTGTGAATTTGTTTATCATCTAAAGGAGTTTATGCATATTGTTGATCGAACATATACAAGCAAAGTGATCACCGAACCCTAACTTTGACAATCTTTATTAAATCGTAAAACCAATCTTCTACCGCAATTTATTACTTTTTATGCAAGATACCGTGACTAAAAATCAAAACCCTTTTGTTACTTTAAAGTTAAGAACTTGACAACTATCGAACAACGACAATATTTCAGATTCCCTGTGAAGACGATAACAAAAACCCGACACTTTACCACTATTCTAACACACTCCCTCTCCCTTTTGGAGGTGGTCGGCGCCACACTCCCCCTTGTATGTAAGGTGGCAGGCGCCACACCCAAGTGGCAAGTGCCACTTGTTGTGTGGTGGCCCCACCCCTTTTTTCCTTTCCTTTCTCTTTCTTTCTTCTTCTTTTCTTTCCTTCCTCTTTCCTTCCTTTTTTCTTTCCATTTTCTTCTTCTTTTCTTTCCATTTTCTTCCTTTTCTTTCTTTTCCAATTATTTCCTCATTCCTACAAAAACAAATAAAATAATTAAATAATATGATAAAAATCGGACAAACTAATAATAATCGAAGGTAAAATCCATGTAAGTCAAGTCAAATAAATGATATAATTTCACGTTATCAGGAGTAACTCTATTATGAATTGTAACCCAACAAAAGTGCAGTTGCATAGTTCAATAATATTTATGAGTTTAAGAAGCAGAGAAACTTTGTAGAATTCACAACTCTTTTCTTTTATTCCCTCTCATATTGAAACCATAACTTCTTTTTCTCAATTCAGTTTTATTTTTCTTCTTCTCCATTATTGTTGTGCTGCAAAATCATCTTGCAATCAAGGTGTGATTGATTCGCTCGAGTAAAGAGTGAAGAACAAGAAGAGAATTCAATCGGTTAATTGAATCTTGCTCATCAAGATTGATTCAGAATTACTCAAAGTCTTGGGTTTAATTCTAACATTTTCAAGACAAAAGTTCTTGAAATCTCCTTTACCAGTTGAAAGAGAGGCTTTTGTGGTGGATAATGGTGCTTGAATAGAAGCTAGGGTTGCGTCTTTCTTTGCTACCTCTTGCACAAATAACTTTACTTAAACAACTAAAGATCCATAGAATTTGAAGGTGCTCAAAGCGGAGCCTATCTCGGTAAGAGAAATAGAACCCCTATTTACTTCATGCAAGTATATGTAGCACTAGAGCGTTCGATCACAAAAACTTCCCTACAATAATTGTCTTTCCTTACGAAGCCGATCAACCATAAAAACCTCCCTACAACCGAGTCCTTTAATGGCCAGAACGAAAAAGGATCGACATACGTAATACGCCAAAGTTGACAATTCCTTCTCAAGAGCATCATTAATCAGATTGGGAAGGTAAGAATAATCATCCTTTGTAATAGATGCCTAATTCTCCCTTGGAGTACGAGATCTCGACCGGGACAAGAAGACGAGCGTTAAAATACTTGAAGTTGAATGTAATGTGCTCGTTGTGCTTGACGCCCCCCAATTTCCCCAAGAATTTTGACATCAGGGTTGGAGACCAAGATGATTCCTCATTGAGGCTATGGTGAACCCAAAACAGAAGGTCAGGGTAATTGCTTTATCATCCCGACTAGAACAGGGGTGATGACGGGTGTTGGAATGTTTGAAGGACTGACCATCACCATGATAGCTCGTGTTCCCTTCTTCATTTGATGAATAACTTTCTCACACTACATTGAGTCTACAAATTTTCTCAGAAAGACACTCAAGTACTCTAGTCCCTAAAGATAATCAGGATAGAGCATGTGAAAAGACATCAAGAGTACAAGACACATTTAATGCACAAGTTTCTTATGACGATGATGTCACATTGCGACTTCTCATTCAAGTTGGGTAATGACCAACAAAAGGAGGAAAGCACGACAAACCCCCACCTTTCACAACAAAGGCAAAAGCTTGGGGGTAACTATTCTGGATCGCTCAGAAGGCCCAATAATTATGACCCATAGATCAGAATGACCCACCACACCGTATGCGGATCAGGTGCATTATCCTAGGCAAGAAATCAAATGATCACATTCCAAGATCAATCAAACGAATATCCGCATCTCATGCCGATATATTAGAAGTTGTTATAATCACTCTACTATATAAGAGAGAGAACACGCCATTTCTCTAGTAACTCAAATTCAAATCTCATTCACTTCATCTCACTCTCACTTTGACTTGGGTGTGAAAACATTTCCCTAGCAGGTCAACCCCTCATCCACTGTACCAAAAGTTCAAATCTACTGTTGCAATCTCATATCCATCATTTACTAATCAATTATAATTTCCACGCTTTATAATACCACCAACACAAGATTAAAAAAATCTAATTTTTAAAAATAGGATTATCCTTTTGATAATAACAGTTAAAGATGCTAAAAAAAAAAAAAAATTTATGCAATACTACCTTGAAAAACTTATTATTATAACATAAGGAGTATCTCAATGTTTCCTTAAATATTTAATATCAACTTAATTGGTGGACTACGAATCAAGTAAATTGAACAAGTGAGAATCAAAATTGTCAAAGAGACCTTTTTCATTTTTTTTTAAGTACAACTACAAGGCTCATAACTTCTTACAATATACTTGTGAACACTATATCACATTATTCTATCCAACAGCCATCAGTTTATGTTGTTGGAATCTAGTTATATTCCTTTACCACATAACATTGCTACTCTATATATAAAGCAAAAATAATAAGTATTTTAGGCCATAAAAAAGTGACCATTATACCTTCCTTAGTAAAGGGTAAAGTGCACAAGTGATAATTGTAGCCAAGACATTAGATGTCACAAATACTGAAGTAGAAATTCTCCCTTTATCTTTCCTTATAACAGCCCCTTCAATGATTGGATAGTTCACAAAAATGATATAACCCATAAGGAAAAGCTGTATGAACATCTTGTCCAATTCTCCCAAACACAACACTCTATAGATGCCACTCACAAAACAAAATATGTTGATAATCATGAGTGAAACCATTGGTACAAGAAACATATTTGATGTTCTAAAGTCATATTTGTCACTTTGATAAAGCATTGTTTGTTCCTCATCTTTCACTTTATTTGTTGGCATGAAACTAGCCTCTCTTAAACCAAATTTCTTCATTATACAATCTAATAGTCCATATAGATGACATGTGGTTGTTCTCATCATCCACATCCTTTGCTCTATTATGAATTTTCCGAATGTTCCTCCGGTCGAGACGACTTCAAATAAAAATTTAGCGTGAGCCGATACATAGATGAATGCAAAAACAAAGAAAAATGGTTCCGACACCTGAAATATTTAAAAAAAAGACATGTTATAATACTACCTGAATCGACTTATTATGAACTTGCGATACTAGAAGGTTATGAAGATACCTTAGGGTATAGAGGAGTTCCGGAGAGTAGACAAATCTGAGGGACAAGAGCAAAACACCAAAGAGGCAAACAATATAGAGGGAACCATGTAAGGTTTGCAAGACAAAATCTATGAAGTAGAGACATTCTCCTTAAAGGACAATTTATGAGGGGACAAATATTGACCAAACCATTTTCAAGCAATCCAGAGCTCCATCTTAAGCCTTGAATTAGTAAATCATTCAAGTTTGTGGTACTATTTCCAAGGAACTGTGGCTTAGGTGGATCACATAAAACTGAGTTCCAACCGTTGCAATTTAGCATGATTCCAGTGTGAACATCTTCACATACAGTACCATACAAAAATCCAACCTTCAAATAAAATTGAAGTGCATTATGAATGTTGAATAAATAGATTGGTTAAACAATTTTTTTAATCATAGAAAATCTGCATACCTCTTTACCCCATTTAGTTCCATTTTCATAATTACAAGAAGCCAAATGCAAAGTTTCTTCTATAGGCAATGCATTCCCAACAGTGATCAAATTTGAAATGCTATTTTGCTTTAAGGACTTGATGAATTCATTGGATTTTCCAACATATTCTTGGAGTTCAAAATCAGTGTCTGAAATTCAAAACATAGAATATAACTGAATTTCTTTACATGCATTGTACTAGTACATAGTACTGACATTAAGGTCTGACACAGATATTTGACACAATCTCATAAATTTTCTGAAAGTAACATATAAGTTGGTGTCAAACACACGCATAAGACACCATACACACATCAAACACATATTAGACACCAGATGCACATCAGACACACGTCAGACACATATTAGACACCAGACACACGTTCAATCATAAGTCTCAGGAGTTAGTAGTATGCAAGCCATTATGCTCTATACCTTTAGTTTTGTAATTTCCATATAATGATTGTCTTTTCAGATAGAATCCTGTGCCAGACAATAAGGGTCCCTGAAGTCCATCCATACCTTGCCATAAGACCTAAAGTTGTGTGCAAAAAAAAAAAACATAGTCAGTTTGAAGATATTTATGTAGATTATATGAATTTATATCAAAATTTGAAGTGTTAATTACTTTATATGCTGATCTGTACTGACTGTCATATATGTCATTGATGCTTATGTTGTGAAATTTCTGAGGGAATTGAACAAAAGCAAGTGAAGGTGATATCTTGGGATCAAGGTGGAAACACATTGCCTGTCTTGCTGAATTTGGCTTACTGCAGAACATGTCACAATCCAACACTAGAATATATGGAGAATTGCTAATCACTGCCGAGGCGCGATACTGCAACAATATATATTTATTTTATAACTAATTAATTACTTGATTTCAAATCTTTAAAAAGTCTCGAGACAAACCACTCATACTTAAACCCAACAAATCAGAGTAGAGATAGAGATAGAGAGTCGTACAAGGACATTGAGCGCTCCGGCTTTGAAATTATGAGGACGAGACGGCTTTTTCTCCCGGGAAACATATACAAGTAATGGCAATTTCACTTGCTCTATTTCATCATCACCACTGTTATTTTCTTGTATCAACTCTATAATTGATGCATGATTTTGACCAGTTACACCAATAGTATCTTCTTTCAATCTCATTATACTTTCTTTGAAACCCTCATACTTTTCCTTAGTCATTCTCTTATCTGTAACAAACTCATCATTCTCAGAAAAATCCTCACTATCAAATTCTCCGAATCCGAAAAGTATGCCTCCGGACACCTACACGAAATTCTGTATCTTGTGCAGAAAGGAAGCCACCACGTAGCAAATTTCCAAGCCTCCTTCATACCATTCAATGTAATAGACGAACCACCATCATCAGAAACATAGACATGAAGTTTCTCACGTGGATAATCCATTGCCATAGCCGATAAAACAGTGTTCATAACATCTAATGTAGGTTCCTTAGTTGGGTCTGCAGTGCATATGAAGACATCAATGTTAGGAAGCTTATTGTTCTCTGGTAGTCTTTCGGGAAAGACAGTTCGTTTAATCGGGTTCCATCGAAAAGCTTGATCAAGAAACCAAATGAAGGAGAGAATGATTTCAGACGAGAAGACTAGAAAGTAAGGTAGAAATGGAGTTTGTATTGTTTTTGAGTTTTGAAAGAAGAAAGTAAGTCTATAATAGAATAAGAAAGAGAGAGCAATGGAATGGAAGAGTATGTGTAATCTGTTGATGAAAAGTAAAAACTTGTTGACATGGATGACACTGAGAGGAAGAGACTCTTCCATTGAGCTCACTGTAGAATCGATTAATGGTTTAAAAGTTTATGATGGAGTGTGTATATATTGATGACAGTGAAATATTAGTAGTTGATTAGTCTCACTTGAATAAATAAGAGTTAGAATAGTTGATGTCTTGGTCAGCAAGAGAGACCAGATGATTTTGTGGTTCTCCTTGAAGCCGCCTATGATCATTTTGTCTAAAAACTATATTCTCCTTTCAAAGGGGAAGTTCAAATGCGTATTCCCCACGTGTAAGATGATATACTCAAATAACATGTAAGTAATTCTCACCACATATTTTGCTAAGAAAATAGTTAAAAGAACAAGTTCATTTTATTGGTAGATAGTTTAAATGTTCTTAATTTATAAATTCTTTGATTTTTTTATAAGTAATACTCGACCTTAATACAAAAAGAAAAAAAAAACTCTACAAACTAACACGAATACGACGTCAAACAGCTCATCGGTTTTATAAACCAATCATTAAATTCAAGAGAATTTTTTTAATATACTCTATATGTTATTTACGCATAATGCAAAAATACTAAAATGTTCTTAGATTTTGGAGATGTATCTCCGAACGAATCCAATACACACACAACATAGATCATTGTAAGAGACGTCCTATTAGTTGTTTTTTTTAAAAACCGGAGATGCATCTCCAGAATCTGTATATATATGCATTTCCGAAACGTATGCACAACCGTTTCAGAGGTAAAAACCAAAAACTTGTTATTTGACAAAATAAAATTAATGTTCGTAATATAAAATAAGCATTACTTAGATGATTTCAACATAAAGTGCAACGTTACACTTCAATATTCCGGTGGACGTTTCAACATCTTCACAATATCTTCGACCGATCTTGAAATCGTCACTTCCAACTCGAGCGAAACTTTTGTTTTGAAACGGAAATATGTATTCCACATAGCCCTTACATCTATATTCGTCTTGAACTCAAAGTTGTTGAATTCAATCTTCCCTCCGTTATCAATCGACAGTGAACGATACTCGAGCTTCACAATTTTTCAATTGTCTCCATAAGTGTTATACCTTAAATTTTACCCTTAGATTATTAGGTTCATTTTGCATTCCATTTCATTATGCATTGTACTTTAACTAACCGCTAACCTGTTTGTCCAGTCTGTTGGTTTTTGCAGGAAAATCACACTGTGCACGCTTTAATTTATGAAGGGCAAAAGGGTCATTAATTTGCAGTCTGCTGACAATTTATGAAGCAAAGTTGTCATCAAGAACTCCTCAAACGATTAGGGTTTCAATATCCGAGTCATGTGATTTTATTTGAGACGGTGCATTTTGTTCAGGAACCAGAAGTAGTCATCAATTGAGTTGTAAAATGCTGTTTGCTTCCTAAATCATATGGAGCTGAGTGCGTTGAAATATAAGTGAATTCGGGTTAAATCGGTGCGAGAATTTGCTTTGAGGAATTTATTCTAACAGACACACGTTTTCCTGTTTTCTGCTAGTCATCAGTCGATTTTAAAGAAACGGTGGAATTTCGGTTCGCGTTGAATTTATAATGAATATCTGTTGGTTTGATCATGATTTTCAGCCAAGTTGATTCAGGCTACAGAGTTAGATTACTCGAGATACAATTTGAATTTTAAATGCGGAGGACAGTTTATTTTGTCGTTTAATTCGATTTCTCTGCTTATCCGTTCAAGGCCGTATTCACCAATTTTATTAATGAGTATGATTTAATTTGCAAAGGGAGTTGTCTGAACTCAGGAGTTGCGCAGGATAAAATTTAATTCTAAGTTGTGCAAGGTTGTTTAACTGTCAAATTCGGACGTTGGAACGTCCAGGTCTATTTGGATGAATTTAATCAGATTGAATTTATTTGGACGAACTTAATCAGATGAATTTGGTCGGATTAATTTAATCATATGAATTTATTTGAATGAACTTAATCAAATGAATTTAGTCGGAGAATAAAAATTTATACAATTGATATTATAATATGCCCAGAAATGCAAATTTACAAATTAATCCCTGAGATCCTAAAGTATCCTAAAAATTCCTAATTATTTTTCTAAGAGCTCTTCACGTCCGAATCTTCAATCTTTGATCTTCGAACCTGCAAAACAAACAATGTTAGAAAAATATTCAGTGGAGGTTAGAACTAATTTATCAAAAGCGTTTTTTCGGTTATATCGACGCCCTCAGCAAGTTATCATCATCGGGCGTGTGGGAGGGCAACAACGACAAGGTCGGCGCCAGCTCCCTACTCCACTTTCCGACCTCGGCAAATCCGGCAATAACTGTTCAAAATCTTTTAGAGAGAGAGAAAAGTTTTTGAGAAAAAGAGATTATTTTTAAAAATGATTTTTTTCGGTTCAGCCAAACAAGTCTTAAAAGTCTAGCAAACAGATCCAGTTCATGTCAAAAATTTGGATATCCAAAAAACTCCATAATCCGTCTCCAAATCTGGATAATCCAAAATCTGGACATCCAAACACCAAAATCCAAACCAGTTCATGTCAAAGAAACTGAATCTAAAATCTCAGGACGAATCATCAAATAATAACAAGAAATCCAAAAATTCATCTGCTTCAAAACCATCAAAACAGAAAAATCATGAAAAATCACAATAACAAATCAAACAGAAAATCGTAAAAAACGTGAAGCATATCCAGGTCCAGCAAAACCACAATAATATAAATACAACATCAAAAGAGGACGAAGGGGTGATAAGGAGTCCGCCGCAAGAACAAGAACCCTCAAAGGTCCTCAGCATCAAAATCATCAGAAAGAAGTGAAAAAGGATCCGCGACCGGACTCAGAGGGAGGAGTTGCCCTCACCATCATGATCGTCCATTCAAAATCCATCAGCAATCATCACAGCCGGACGAATCATCACCAGTCAAACAACAGACGGTGGACAACCCACCATCACCACCGTGAAAGCCTCAGATTGAACCATCATTGGCTATTTAAACTGAACCGCAACCGGAAAACCGTCAAGACCACCGCGCAACCACCACAAGCTAAACCACAACTAATAGCAACCGTAGATAAGCCAAGGACTCAGAAGAACTGGGTTCTTCATCATCGTCACATACCATTATCATCAAAATCAATGGCGGCCAAGGATCCAACACCATCATCAGAACCGCTTCAAACTCTTAAAAGGGTGAGCAGTTCTTTGCATTTGCCTGTTTATTTTTCTTTTTTTTTTCCAGGGTCCATGAGAAGATGAAAGAGCCAGGCGAAACAGCCATGGAAGGGAGGAGAAGAGAGAAGGAAATGGGTATGCGCCGCGAGAGCTCAGAGGAAGCTCCCATGAAGGAGCGTCGCGCGGCCAGGAAGAAGAAGAGGGTTTCAAAACCCTAAATGTTTCAGCAACAAATTTGCCCTTCCCCCTTTTATATTTCTATTTTTTTATTTTCATTTTTTTATTTTTTCCAGCTTAGTTAAATTATTATAAATCTGTAAATATAAATCTGAATTAAATTATTAAATAAAAACCATTTTTTTAAAAACTTATAATTAAAAATCATTTTTTAAAACTTATAATAAAAACCACTTTTTAAAACTCATAATGAAAAACATTTTTAAAAAAAACTTATACTTAAAACCTCTTTTAAAAAAAGTAAAAAAAAAACTAAAATTAAAACTATTTTTAAAATTTAATTTAAAATAGTAATTTGGAATTTAAAGTCTCAATTCAAAAAATAAAAAATTTAAAGTTTTAAACTTAACATTTTTTAATAAATCCAATAAAACTAATTTAGTTATTAGTTTAGTGATTTTCTAATTAAGACTCTGTGAGGATTAAATTCCAATTTTTAGAAAAAGTAGTTAAAACCAATAAAAAATTTAACTTTTAAAAATTAAAACTTTTTTAGAAATTACTAATTTCTTGATAAACTTTCAATTAAGACTAATTTTCAAATTAATCCTAAATTTTTCTTAAAACTAATCTCTAACCTAAAAAAATGCTTAATATCTCCGTTAACTGTCATCTCACTTTTATTGTTTCTCATAGGTTACTAGCCCTTTATTTTTCGTATTTTATTTTCATGGTTATAATTTATGCAAGGACATCGTCGCTTTTCAATTCCGTTATTATTCTGGCACATTTTTTCGTATTTCGATACTGCCACTTGATAATTATTTTTCATTGCATTATTTACCATAATTTCCCCTCTGAAGGATAGGTCTAGCCGTTTGACCGCCGCACCAATAATCCTTATCTTTGAATTTTTTACCTTTCAAACCCTAATTGCATAGGCGTCCCGCCGTGGGTAAGTTAATTTACCCTTTACCCTAGCATTAGGATAAGGAGTCGCCGCTCCCCATATTAGGTTTCCTGCCGTGGAATACCTATTTTACCCTTTTTAATTCAATTCAATTACAACGTAGAAATAGGAGTCACCGCACTCCACGCAAGCGCTTCCTTAAGAACGTTTGCATCCCCATGAAACCTTGACCACAATCAAGAAGTTCCAACTCCTCCCTTTCAAGGGGAACTACGATTACTCTGATTCCATCCCCTACCTTGGATACGTAGGCACAAGATGCGAGTCTTGGCGAGTAAACTTAGGACTAACTCTTAGGTCTTTCTTTTCACCTTCTAACCCTTAGCATATACCCTTAAGCAAATAATTATAGCAAAATAACAACATTAAAACAAGAGGTTCCTATAGAGTACTACAGAAGCTTAGGGTGCTAATACCTTTCCTAAGCTTAACCAACCCCCGAACCCTAGATCTCTCCCCGCATTGTGTTTACGATGCAAAATAGGTTTTTCCTTCCTTTGACCTTTCCTTCGGATAAATTAAATACCGGTTGTGAATCTAAGATTTGTGATTCAAATTAATTAATAATTTGATATCCTATTCTCACCGCAACAGTAAGGTAAGAGCTTATGGACTTCGTATTTAAGATCTACAAAAGAGTTGTACTCGTTGAGTTTAAAATTTTGTTCGAGTGTTGTGTTGGAGAAGGAGACATTTGCGACATACCAGATGATGATTATTTGT